GACCGTGGGTGTGATACAGTGTGTGTGTGTGACACTGGGGGGGTGTGACACTGTGGGTGTGTGTGACACGGGGGGTGTGACACCGTGGGTGTGATACAGGTGTGTGTGTGACACTCTGTGTGACACTGGGGGGGTGTGTGATACAGCGTGTGTGTGTGATGTGACACTGGGGGGGTGTGACACTGTGGGTGTGTGTGACACCGGGTGTGATACAGTGGGTGTGTGTGACACGGGGGGTGTGACACCATGGGTGTGATACAGGTGTGTGTGTGACACTCTGTGTGTGTGTGTGACACTGGGGGGGTGTGTGACACCAGGTCTGACACAGTGTGTGTGTGTGTGACACCACAAGTGTGTTTGACACCAGGTGTCACACTGAGTGTGTGCAACACTGTGTGTGTGTAACACCAGATGTGACACAGGGGGTGTGTGACACTGTGGGTGTGTGACATCCCGTGACACTGTGTGTAGGTGACACTGGGTGTATGTGTGACACCAGGTGTGATACTGGGGGTGTGTGTGACACGTTGGGCGTGTGTCACACTGGGTGTGTGTGACAGCAGCTGTGCGCAACACCAGGGTGTGACACTGTGGGTATGTGACACTGCGTGTGTGATACCGTGTGTGCGTGTGACACCGGGGGTGACACCGAGGGTGTGAACCACCGGACGTGTGACACCGGGGGTGTGTGACACAATGGGTCTGACCCTGTGGGTGGGTGTGACACGGGGAGTGTGACACCAGGGGTGACACCGTGGTTGTGTGACAGCGTTTACGTGACACGTCCGCGTCCCCTCCGCTTCCCTCGCGGACAGAGGACGGGGCAGAGCCCGGACGCAGGATTGAGGGGGTTTTCTTTAAATTTGGGTGGGTTTTTTTTTTGTTGTTGTTTTATTCCCAAAAAATACACCTCTGAAAACCAAAATATTTCCCTTCAGAGGGTGTTACGTGTCCCCCTGTGTGTGTCCCCCCCCCCAACACCTCTCCCCTCCCTGCGGTAACGAGCAAAGATCCTCTCTCAAACCGGTATCGGAGAACGCTTAGAAAAAGGGGGGAAAAAAACCCCAAAAACCCAAAACAAAAAAAAAAAAAAAACAAAGCAAAAAATGAAAATTATAAATTCTCCCTCTG